CTAAAACTATGAACTTATATTTCTGATCAGAGGGAGTAGTTTTTTATGAACATACAACTTATGGAGGGGATTTGATTAAGATAATATTGAGCATCAGACATCAAAATAATATTTCACCAGGATTTAAATATATTGGTTGCCATATATGTCATGATTTATGATACTGATGAATCTAGTCTGCCAGAGACCATGTTGATGTGGCCAATGGATCTGAAATTCATGTAGCTGAAAATGGTTCATGCAGTGGCACCAACTATTAGATATTTGCATTCGCATTTTTAGCAATTACCCTGTTGGTCTTGTTTTCAGTTCTTTGTTGACCCCTGGTAGATTTTGGTTCATACAGCGGCACCAATTATTAGATATTTGCATTCATATTTTGGGAATTAACCCTGTTGGTCTTGTTTTCAGAAGTCCTTGTCGACGCTAGTTAGAATTTTCTCAGATTGTGAATGTGATGAAAATAATGACCTTGGAGCCCTGATGGCCATGGCCTATAATTCCCTTGTAGCTAAGCCTAAATGGAAGTATTTAGACCCTCTACATTTGCATTTTGAGAATTTACTCTATTCTGTTTCCATTAATCCTTTGTCCCCTTGTTCCATGAGTTTTCTGAGATATTGAATAAAAAGGAGAAAACAGTGTTGGTGGAGCCTTGATGGCCATGAACTACAGTTTACTGTATGGTCTGTGATTGACAACTTCCTGCTGCTACTCTTTTCTGCAGATATTTTGTATGACTCATGGTCACCAGCGATGACCGTGAGCTCTGTCTGTATCAGTATCCTGTCTATGTTGTCTAGTTCTCCAGCAAAGGTGACACTTAGTCACACTACTTGATCTATTAAAACTTCGGTGCCCTCACTCCACAGTCAGACTCTAACTAGCTACAATGTATTGGTTGCAGCAACGCCCAGCGGACAATGACCGCTATGTTAGGAACTGCCGCAACGGGAGGTCTCCGAAGGAGACCAGATGGTGGTTCCATGACGACACGGTGTAATGGGCTCCGTGGCATCGCCTGTCAGCCTTCCTTACCGTGATATATCTCTTCAAGGGGAGATGAGATGATTTAGGCCTATTTACAAGCACCCCTCTATTGGATTTGCGAAGCTTACCTTGTGGTGGTATGTAAATGAGTTGCACACATGTGTCGAGTCTGAGAATATATATTATCACCATCAATGATATAATATAGAATAAGCAAGAATGTACCCTGCCTGAATCACAGAAACGAGCTCAAAAGGAATATGCAGGTTTAACTATGATTTGCTTTGCTCAATGTGCCTTTGTATCAGTCTGCAGTCCTTGTGGATTTTCCTATTTGTTAGTGCTGCGATGCTGCTACGGTGATAGTTCTAACTCAGTCACCGTTATCTGTGTGCTCATGGCTTTGGTATTCCAGTTTTCTTTCTCTGCTTATGGACGTGCTGAAATCAGAGTGAAATAGGTAACCTGACGCTGAGTGAGCTGCAATGGTGTCCTATTCCCAAGATCTCCCATGTAGAATGCTGCCAATGTAAGTTTTGGTAGCAGAATTCATGGCTGGCTGGGAGTTTTGGTTGCAGAATTCATCGGCTGCGGTCATGTAGAATGCTGCCAATGGAAGTTTTGGTTGCAGAATTCATGGCTGGCGGCGGCCGTCGTTGAGGCCTGCTCGTTTTTTCAACGCGTAAATGAAATTATTCTAATTCATTCATAGATTGCTTCTAGAGGAAAAATAGTGCTACAGTTCTGTGGAGATTGAAGTCAGTCTTCAGACTGTTTGCTAGCGCCAACAGTTCCATATGTGCCGACTTTACTAGTACTGCCTGTCTATATCAAAAAAATTTGTCTACGTGCACCTTGTCCAACAAGAAAGCTCCATCTTGCAAATGCATAGCGGACTTGTATGGATGACATATTTGGTTTGTTCGGCTTCTTTTTTTTTTTTTTTTTTCGATCGAACAGTGTTTTTCTTTCGCAACAATTTAAGCGGGAACAGTGTTTTTTTAGCTAGTTTCAGTCAAGTTTTAGACCAGTGAACGGGGCCGCTGGTCTGAAACTTGGCTGAAACTGGCTGAAAAACACTGTTCTGGCTGAATTGTTGTGAGAGAAAAACACTATTCCGGCTGAAAAAAGAAGCCAAACCAGCAGGGCCATCATTTCATCCATACAAGTCCGCTATGCATTTGATATCACGTGGTGCAGAAGAACGAATTTCACATAATAATCTAAAAACTTATATTTATTTGCTTGGTAAAGGATTTAGACCTTAGGCCATTTCTTAACGTGGCCAGTGAGCACATGTGACTGACTGACATAGCAACCAGAGGAAACAAAGAGGCGACCGGCGACCGGCGACCGGTGAGTCCAGCAAGCAGCAGAGCATGGACGCGGGCGAGGTGCGGCACTGGAACGCGGACGTCAACGGCGTCTCGATCCACGTCGCTGAGCGGGGCCCCGAGGATGGGCCGGCGGTGCTCCTCCTCCACGGCTTCCCGGAGCTCTGGCTCTCGTGGCGCCACCAGATGGCCGCGCTCGCAGCCCGCGGGTTCCGCGCCCTGGCCCCCGACCTCCGTGGCTACGGCGACTCCTCCGCGCCGTCCGACCCCGCCGCCTACTCCATCTTCCACATCGTCGGCGACGTCATCGCGCTCCTTGACCACCTCCAACTCACAAAGGTGCCGCTTTTTTTCCCCCTGCCGTGCTCTTGTTTCTCACCTCACCATCGTGAGTGACTGAACCTCTTGAGCTGTGCGCGCCGCCATCTGCCATGGATGGATGCAGGTGTTCGTGGTGGGGCACGACTGGGGCGCGCAGGTGGCGTGGCACCTCTGCCTGTTCCGGCCGGACCGGGTGCGCGCCGCCGTCGTTCTGGGGGTACCGTACTTCGCTCGTCACGCTCGCCCGATCACGGAGGCCTTCGCGGCGTTTGGCGATGGCTTTTACATAAATCAGTTTCAGGTGCTGATCCGATCTTCTCTTGCCCGGCTCAACCATGCTATTTACTTTGCCTAATTTTGTACTAGCATTACCAATTTTTGCATCCATCAATAAATTGGAGTAATCTTTTTGTCGTTGCAGGATTGCGCAGAACCGAATTGCTCTAATACATTAGTTCATAGAAAATACATACAATTTGAAGCAGCTGAAGATTTGAGTAGCAGTTTACCCCATGCCAGTTGAACAGTACTGTAGAGATTTGTAAGATTGTTTTTTAGCAAAGTGCGGTGATTTGATTGATCATATGATTATATTTGATGTGTGATGCCTTCAAACTTCTTTTGCAGAACATTTTAACAAACCCTCGTAAGATCACGTGCGCATGTGTGTTTGCTTAGATATGATTGTGCTATGTATCAGACCTGCATATGGTTGAGAGCTTTTCTCTAAGCTCAGCCAATGGGGGCATTGCAAAATTTCAGTTAGCATTTTCAGTTTGAATCTTTGTTTTACCTTATATTCTCAAAATTGAAGCAGCAGCTCACCTTCTTATTTAGGAAATAAAATAGGTCCAGGTATTTCAATAGTAATTTTTTCAAACACCAAGTTGGTCTGCAGTCTGCACCAGTAGCTTCAAACCTTTCAACTACAGTCTGGCTTCTGGTGCTCTGTTTGAAAATTCAAGATTCATATTTGCAGGAGCCTGGAAGAGCTGAAAGCGCATTTGCTCGTTATGATGTTGCGACTGTCCTAAAAAAGTTCTATTCCATTCAAATAGATGATCTCAGTGCTCCTCCTGGAGTGGAGATCATAGACTTTCTCGAGGCATCTCCATCACCACTTCCTTGGATCAGTGAGGAAGATCTGGGCCAGTATGCTGAAAAGTTTCAGAAGTCTGGGTTCACTGGACCCCTCAACTACTACCGCATGGCGGAGACGTAATTTCCTTACCTTGTTTCCTATTTTTGTCTTATTAATTATTGCCTTATTACACTATATGTGATTAAGGTGTGGTAACTGCAGGAATTGGAGACTTCTTGCACCCTGGAACGAAGCCAAGATTACAGTGCCTGTGAAGTTCATAGCTGGTGATAAGGACATCGGTGTCCAGTCCTTTGGGATTGAGAAGTACATCAAGAGCGGGACATTCAAGTCCATTGTTCCAGATCTTGAAGTCACTATCATTGAAGGTCACCATTTTCTCCAGCAAGAGCAGGCCGAGAGGGTGAATTCGGAGATAATTTCCTACCTCGTCAAGTTTACTAGCCAGGAGCCATCATCTTGATGTTTTGTTGCTCAGTTGAGCCTGACACAAAAAAAAAAAAGGTGTACGATGGGCCTCCATTTCTTTCTGAACTGAAAAGGTCTTGAAGAGCCGAATAAATGTGAGCTAGTCAGCTAGCCATTTGCTGGCTTGCTTGTATGAATATGAATAAAAAGAGCATGTGACAAAAACACTTGGTGCTGAAAGCTTGCGTGGTTGTGTTGCTTCTGGTAGCCATTGCAGGCTTGTTGGCAGAAGGTGTAATCAACGCGTGCACGTATGGGTATGGAACACGTGATCCACGGATATTTAACTTTTTACCATTATACTGGACGGCGCCTCTTGAGATAGCATTCTTAGGAATGATGATACGGATTTAACGGCACGGAGAGAAATTCGATACGTATTTGCCACGTTTGCTCGCGTGGCATGCCAGCTCCTCATGTGTCAGCGGACCCATGTCAAATGACCGCCCTTGCCTCTGGCGTCTTTCTTCTCCACCGCGCTGGGCAGGGAGCTCATCGCTGCGTGGTTTCCGTTGGCGGCCTCGGACGGCGCTTGGGCGAGGTGACGCTCTGCGGGAACCCACACGCGCCGGCGGCCACCATTTGCTTCTGGCACCGCCTGGACTACGCCACAGCGAGCAGCATCGACGCAGGGAACCGCCACCGCGTTTACCACGCCGCGCTCGTCCTTCCGGAACGCCTTTGGGCACCCGCTCGACGCAGTGAGGAGCGCTGCAGCGCCGCGCTCGGGCGCGGGCTTGGCCTCCAGCATCCACACCAGTCGCGGGACGGCGTCCGCGACGACCTTAGTGGCTTAGTGCGGACTCAGCGTTCACGGCGTGGTCCGTCTCCTCCGTCGATGGCACCACCGCCGTGTTCGCGGACTGGAGTCCCACGTCGGAGCTGCAGGCGGTGGCGAACCTCTCGTCAGGGTCGCTCGCTCCGAGCCTCCTGTCTCTCCGCAGCACGGCGAGCTCTGCTATGCCACTCTCCTCGTTTCCCTCGCCGGCCTCTCGCTCCGCGCTGTCGAGGGGACGCGAACCGGCATCGGCGTCCCCGTCGACCTCGGCCTTCACCTCGCGCTTCAGCTCCCGGAGCTCCCTCTTGACGCGGTTCAGCTCCCGCATCACCTCGACGAGCATTGTGTTGCTCTGATCCTGAGGCTGGTTGGCGCCGGGTGCCTCGGCGTCCACCACCAGTCCCGGCTTCTTCCTCCTGCTGCTACCGCTGCCGCTGGGCACGTGTTCTTTGGAGTTCCGACCTGTGACTCTGTGAGAAGACCTCGCCGTGGCGTTGGCCTGCTCGATCTGCCGCTCCAGCTGCTGGCCCATGCTAGTTGCCCTTGACAGCTCGGACTCGGCTCGGCCGCGCTCTCGCTCCACGATGGCCCTGCGCTGGTGCAGCCTCTCCAGGGCCTGCGTCTCGTCGAGCGTCCGTGCCGATCCGCCGATGCCCCAGGTTCCAGCTGCGGTCGTCGTCCGTGGCCAAGTCGTGGCTCGTACGAGCGTGCCGAAGGCCGGGCCTGAACCCTACATCGTGGTCTGCTCTTGAGCCATGACGTCATATACACTATTTTTCCTATGAAATTTAAAGAAGAAATGTCTTAAAAATACAAGTATACTAGCAGGCTGTCCTGAGCCGTCCATCATTTAATCTGTGGTCTAGGCAAAAGAAAGAGGAGAGGGGCATGATGGTCTTTTTGCATGTGGCTGATGACTCATCATTATGGCTTGTGGCACGGCCACGTAAGCAGTGCCCGAGCCTGGAGGTTCAGATAATTTGTATTTATGCAAGTCACCGTGATCCAGGACGAGCCAGGACTCATTGAGCAGCTAGCGCGTCAAGCAGAGCAGCAAAGCATGGAGGCCGAAGCCGCCGCCGAGGTGCGGCACTGGACCGCGGATGTCAACGGCATTTCGCTCCACGTCGCCGAGCGCGGCCCCGCCGACGGGCCGGCGGTCCTCCTCATCCACGGCTTCCCGGAGCTCTGGCTCTCCTGGCGCCACCAGATGGCCGCGCTAGCCGCCCGCGGCTTCCGCGCGCTGGCCCCCGACCTCCGTGGTTACGGCGACTCGTCCGTGCCCACCGACCCCGCCGCCTACTCCATCCTCCACATCGTCGGCGACTTGGTCGCGCTCCTTGACCACCTCCAACTCACAAAGGTGCCGCCTTTTTTTTTCCCGGCCGTCATCTTAGCTTTTCTCACCTCATGATCGTGAGTGACTGAACCTCTTCCTCTTGGGCTGTGCGCGCCGCAATCTCCCACGGATGGATGATGGATCTGTAGGTGTTCGTGGTTGGGCACGACTGGGGCGCGCAGGTGGCGTGGCACCTCTGCCTGTTCCGGCCGGACCGGGTGCGCGCCGCCGTTGTCCTGGGGATTCCCTACTTCCCCCGCGGCCCTCGCCCGATGACGGACTCATTTGCCGCGCTCGGCGATGGCTTTTACATCAATCAGTTCCAGGTGGAGATTTCTTACGCAGTTACGCTGGCTCAGTTATTTAATCCTTTTCATTTTTGCATCCGCTAGCCTTTCATCTTATTATTATAGTGTATATCCTAGTCACAGGATTACGGGGAATGGGATTCTTGTACATTAGTTCAAGCAAACCACATATATTTTGGAGCAAATGAAGATTGGAGCGGCATTGGCTTACCTTGTTAGTTAGTAACTGGAACTTCTTGTAATAAATGCGTTATTTCATAGTGAATTGCCGGCAGAATTAGCTGTTAATGTTGATGTTTGCATCATGACCTTGACACCTTGTCTTGTTACTTCACGAATTAGCTGTTAGTGCTAAGTGGGATGCAACGCCTACAAACTTTCCTCAAGAAAAGCAATGGTATAAACTAAGTTCAAGCTATTTTGTAAAACTTGATAGGATTTATAGGACCTCTAGCTATAGATCTAGCGGGTAAAACTTAACTTAGACAAAGAACTTGCCGATGTACCTCCCAAAGCGCAGTCGCGGCCAGGGCACCGCAGCGACGTGGCCTCGAGTATTGGAGTAGAGGTAGCTGTGCAGTGGAGGCGCGATCCAGTGGCGGCGGCGAAAGCGGTGGCGCTTCTCGTCGCTCACAGCGCGCCCTCTCGATTGGACTAGTGTTAGGACGTCAGTGGGGCACTGTCGGCCGTGGTGAACCTCGTATCTCGAGCTCCAGTCCCCGCCTCCTATTCATAGCGCTGCGTGACGAGGGCCTACTAGCTAAGAGAACGGCTGAGCGCCCCCGATCAGGGCACGAGTCAGGGTCCGACTCGGTCGTTGGACCGAGCCGGGTGGAGATCAATCTAACATTCTCCCCCTTGATCTCACCTTATGACTTAAAACTTAGTTCACTTTGTCCTTTTCCTCATTCCATCACAGATTAGTGCATAGAGCATGCCTCGTCATAACAGTTAGTACTGTTAGACTAACAACTATAATACACCTCTCTGTTTTGAAACAGATTCTTAACTAGGTCCTTAGTATCCAGAAATCATAGGCTTTCCCATAAACCCATGTCGATTGTGTGTTCTCTGAACGCACTGGGTGGTAAGCGTTTGGTAAGCGGATCCGCAAGTACTTACTCGGTACTTATATGCTCAATGCTTTCAAAATAATTCTGGATTTTCTCCTTTACAACATATAACTTAATGTCAATGTGTTTGGCAGCACACTTGACCTGTAGTCATAGGAGTGATTTGCTTTAAATGGTTATTTCTGTTGTCTATCATTGTTAATTTCGGGTACAAAATTTCCTTAACCACTTTTGCGTGTCCCTAAAGCCTCATACCAAGCTATACTATGGTATGCGTCATTGATGATACCACAACTATTTCTTTGGAGCTTTTCCATAATAATACTTCAACTGCGAGTGTTAGCAACTACTGTGAATTTCACTACGCATCTCGCCAAGGTTTAACATTTGTACCCACAACTATTTGAGAGTACTTTTTCTTTCTTACTCAGCATGAGGCTTATAATACTTTGCAAAATTACAAGATATTCTTGACTCCATTCCAGTAATGTCGATAAAATATCGTCGGCAGTCCTCCGAGGGGTATCCCATGAAGGTAGATTGATCGACAGAGATGTGTGTAATCGAGAATAAGAAGGCAACAGAGACACAAGAGTTAGACAGGTTCGGGTCGTCGACGTGACGTAATACCCTACTCTTGTGGTCTGTTGGATTGTATTGGCTATCGTATGATATTGTGTGTGATCAGATGCCTTAGACTAGGCCTAGGATCTGTATGAAGATGTCGACTAGGGAACCCCTGCCCCTCCTTATATGCTCTGGAGGGGTAGGGTTACAAGAAAAGTATCCTATTTGGTATTACACAATGTCTTATTGTAGCCTTGCGGTGCACGCCTTGATCTTGTTGGCTGGGCCACCTCTGATGGTGCGCCCCATGTCTTGTCTTATGGATACTGGGGGCCATATCCCCCACAGCTAGTCCCCGAGCGTCTTGTATCCTTTGAGCAACGCTGTCTTGAACAAGTCCGAGCACTTTGACGTGAAGCTGATCAGTTTAACCGGTGATCCAAGCAGTGGAAGTTGAAGCTGACCAGTTTAACCGGTGATCCGAGCACTGAAAGTCAAAGCCGACCAGTTTAACTGGTGACCTGGGCGGTGAAAGTCAATGCCGACCAGTTTAACTGATTAGAAAACCTCAGACTTAGTCAAGTAAGGCTTGCTAGAAGGATGTAAGGGGCTCAAGATAAAATTTGAAAATTCTTTCACTTAGGAGAAGTGTAGCCACTTAGACTCTGTCAATAAAGAGGGTAAATCAAGAAATAAGCACTACATTCATCGCTAGGTGAAGTGTAGCCACTTAGTCCCCGAGCCTACTAGAAGATAAAGAATGAATCTTATAGCAGGGTCAAAGAAAAGAAGTCTGAAAGCTTGCCGACGTCATCTGACATGCGCATATCAAGACCCTAGACTTGCTGCCCAAGATCAGCACCCTGATCCAAACATCATGGAGCAGCTTGATAGCACACCGATAAGACGTAGCAAAATCCGACCACCAAGGAAGTCCCCAGCTTAGCTGAAAACGCTTGCACGAAGAATCCGAGCACTGAGGAGTCTCCAGCTTAGCTGGTGGCGCTTGCACGAAGAATCCGAGCACCGAGGAGTCCCCAGTGTAGCTGGCGATGAAGCCCATGCGATGAGCAGCCCAACCAACTGGTCGCCAAGCAGGAGTGAGCGCCGAGCAGGGGTGAGCGCTGAGCAGGAGTGAGCGCCGAGCAGTCCGACCAGTTGGTTGGCGGTGAAGTCCGTCTGATAGGTGGTTCAACCACCAAGGAAGTCCTCAGCTTAGCTGGAGACACTTGCACGAAGAATCCGGACACCGAGGAGTCCCCAGCGTAGCTGGCGAGCCCCCAGCGTAACTGACGATGAAGCGACGATCAATCCGAACTCCGAGGAGTCCCTAGCTTAGTTGGTAAGCCCCCAGCGTAGCTGACGATGAAGCACGAGCGACGAACAGTCCGGTCAACTGATCGGTGGCGAAGTGAGTATTAAGTAGAAGCGACCGGTGAACAGTCCGATCAACTAATCGGCGATGAAGTCCATGAACCTAGCGGTGCGACCAGTTGATCGGTGGAGAAGTTCGAGCACCAGGTGGTCCGACCACCTGGACAATGATCCTGCAATACAAATATGTAGAACGGGTAGTACATGATGTAAAATATGTGAACTCCGGAGAAGAATCAGCAATGGTGATGAAATAGCGTATGTAGCTCGGCGATCAGTTGGTGTGAACACTTAGTGTTATTATGAAGATGTATTTATATTTAATATAAATCATCCGACCAGTTAGTGTGTAGCTGAGTCTACAACCCTAATTAGCCCGTTAACCATAACGCGGAGCACAGAGCCTGTGTGCATGTAGGAAGAACAAAGCGTCGCTAAGGAGCCGCTGCCGACCACCCATAACGCAGAGGGCAGACGCCCATGCACGTGTAGGGAGGAGCCAAAGACAGGGCTGTCTCTGGGGATATCCGAGCATCAACATGACTATTTGGGGATTTACCTTAGACTTAGCTGTATGTCATCTTTAAGATGACATACATGAAAGAAAATCGTTTGGAGAACAAACATGGCGAAAATAGCTCGGAGAAACATCATGGTGATATATGAAGATTGGAGAATATTTAGAAGAATATTAAAGCGTGACTTAGCTTTAGACAGAACATCTGGTCGGTGGCGTATGGCGTTATCTGGTCGGCGCTGATGGCGAGCGCCCGACAGGCGGTGAGTTTTTTATCTCTTCTATTCTCGATGGCGGCGAGGCCCCCGAAGATAGTGGCGACCACTTTGTCGTGATCCTGGAAGGTGTTATTGT